GCTCACCAATAACTGCATATACCTACTATTTTTAAAAAGTATGTACTAATGATATTAAAGCTGTTCAGCAGCAGTATACCCACTTCATTATTCCCTGTTCCAGTTAGACACAGTCAACTCTGCATGGAAAACACAAACTTTTGCTGAAGAAAGAATGGCACAGCCATCTTGCACACATGACTCAAGTGTGATGGAACACCAGGAATCAGAAATTACGATGAGCTGAAAACATCTGAAAGTAAACAGGCCACAGGCCATCTGTTGCTGTATCTCCCCACCAACTGAAGTTCCAAATAAAATCAGAGATTTTTATTGTGCATTTAGTGAGGATCATTAATCCCCATCTTTCTAGGTTTTATACAAGTCTAATTATACTTTCCTGCAAAGCAGTTTTAAATAGTTTTTAAAGGATTCTTTATACATGGTAAGACTATAAGCATTACTTCAACAATATTTCAGTTTTGCATTGGTTAAGTCAGAATGAAAGGTCACTCAACCGTGTGATATTAAAATATGTTACAGATAAATTTTGACAACCAAATATTTTTATTGCAGAAAAACATCTGTGTTTATAGTCACAATTCCCAAACCTAAAATTAATCCTGGCACACCTGCAATTTTGAATGTTAATTTTCAGGGTGATTTGGTTTTGCTTTTTTTTGGTGTTTGTTTAGCATTGGTTTGGGATTTTTTAAAATAAAAAAAACCTCACATGAAAAGCACAGATTAGTTTCCTTCTTTCTTTCATCTCGTATTCCAAAGTATTCATCACTATTTAAATTTTACATGTATACACACATATATACAAACACATATGTACACACACACCCTACTGTACTTATGGATAACTCTCTCTTTTTTCCAAGGAATCATTGTCATCTTTAAGCTATTTGTGAAAAGGTCATTCTTGAAAACAAGGACATTAACTGTGATGCAAATAGCTTCTCTGGATAAACATCCAGCATGTTCCATCCTGTGTCTCCTAATGAAGAATTATAAGTAATGGTATGAAAGAGATGCAATTTTTATCATAAATAGGATTTGAAATACAAGTCAAACTGTTGTATTCAGTTTCTTTTTTGAAAAATAGTGTTAGCTCTTCAAAAAGAATTTTTAAAAAATCGTTTACACTGAGCTAGCTTCTCTAGAATTCTCCCTCAGTCTGGACTCTAATGCATCTCAGGGATCCAAATTAAAAGTCAGATCTTCAATACATCAAAATTTGTGTTCAGATAGGACATGTTGGAAATCTAATCATCTTTATACTCAAAAAGCATAATTAAATAAAAATAGTAGAAGCATTAGAAGTACATGAAGCTCTTAATATTACAAAGGCTTTCACTGAAAGACAAGCCTTACTTATGCCATAAAACTTGCTAAATTAACTTATCCTTGCACTATAAACCTTCTCCACCTGAGATGCACAAGCAATGGACTGGAGACCATTACTCTTACAGATGTAACAGGTAGCCTAGAAAAGATTTTCTCTTTTAAAGAAGTATCATATCAGTGAGATGCCTACTGTAAAGTGAAATGCTGTGCCTGCCAAAATTCAAGACTATCGCCCTACAGATCTCTTCTATGCCCAGGAGGCATAACAGAAGCACTACATACTCTTCAGTAGAAAAACTTTAGATTTTTTTCTGATTTCTTTTCTCTATCTTGAGGAATACATTTGAGAGAAAGAGGGAGTGTATACAAATAGATAGATATATATATATATATCTCAATCACTGTTTTATTCCCTATGTTTTAAGTATATTTATTAAATCAATCATATTAGACCAAGGGCTGACAGACTTCTACAGAAAACTCAGTTATTCAAACAAAGATTTGCTGAAATAATTCATATTTTCCCTACACATTCTCAAAAGCATGACAGAAAAAACAGTATTTGTTTCTATTTTTCAGAATTCTATTCTTGTAAATACTCCATGATAGTATATCCTCTACCATGCTATTTTGCCTAAAGTACCACCTTCTAGCTCTCATTCAATTATGCATTGATTTTGTGTTTTGAATTTTGGATGTAATTCATCATTACTGAGGGCTGTCTCAAGCATTTGCTCAGCTGAGACTGCTTTCTGTTTCCTGCATACTAATGAAGTGCTATGGAACACAGAAACACTTTGGCTTGAGAAGCTTTTTTCTAAACCATACTTCATTTAAGACTGAAAACAGTTTTAAAAGATGCATACTCTTATATGCTATATTCATTCACCATCATGTTGTTGGACTAGGTGATCATTTTAAGTCCCTTCCAACTGATATATTGTTCCTCATTTAAATTTTTACCTCCCAATTTTTGTACTACCAAAAACCACTGCAAATTATGTGTCTTGAAGGAGTGCTAATGTTTCAGATATATTTTGTTAAATAAAAAGACAAAATAATAAAATATATAAATGAATAAAATATATAAATGAATAAAATCAAAAATTACATCAGTTGTGATTGGTACTGACACATGGCAGAGGCTGCATCCTTATAACTAATGTACTCAAATTTAGAGTTGTGTAGCACTCTCAGGTAACAGAAATATAAACTGTACTTGAGAGGTAAACTATGAACACATGAAAGTTATTTTCTAAATGCTGAAGTCTCCACACTTTTCTGCTGCATCCTCACATTCAATAAGTACTCATTCTCATCATGTATCCTAACACAGCAGCGTTCTCTTTACACAATTTCACTAGGGCTCAAACTGCAGCCTTGCTTTTCTCAAAATGTCCATGATAAAACAGACATAAACACCTGAAAATAAGCATCATTCTATGACAAATTAAGTCAAAAGTTTTTTTCATTTCCAGGTTACCTCCTGCTCCAACTTAAAGACAAAACAAACACAGTCTACATTTTCATAAATCATTTTAGAAGGATCTTTGCATGTGCATTCATTGTAGTTGTACACATGTGACTGAAGTATTTAAGTACAATACCCATTAAGACCCAAATTTCATTAGTAGATAATTTAATCGTTTTTGAAAACTGTCCTTCAAAATCATATTTTTGGGGTTGCTTGAGGTAAAATTCCTGCCTAAGTCAAAAAAACCTACAAAAGTAGTCACTAAGTCACACTGTAAAAGCTAGATTTGCGTTTAGTTTCACTTACAAACAAACAAAAACCCAAAAACTAAAAAACAAACAAACAAAACCCCCCAAAAATTTATTTAAGCTAACACTTTACAGTCTCTTAAGTTTCTAGTTTCTTGATCACTTTGAGGCAGAATAAACCAGCATCACTGCCAAAAGAATTGATCCTATACCAACCCCAGCCACTCACACACCCCCCTACATGAGTCTTCACTCAGTCACACAGTGAACTGAATTGGGAAATTGATCCATGTCCAATTAATCAAAGAGAAAAAACCTTCCCAGGGAGATGCATTCAAAATTGCCTTCACTGCTTCCTGATTTATCTTCCCAGTTCTCTCAACCAAAATTAAAATAAGGCAAAGCCACATTTCAGGACCTCCCAGCATGACATTGGACATGCAGGTCCAAGGAACCAGAGAGAGACCTACCTGAAACACGTTTGTTATTGGTAGTGGAGGCAAAGCTATCAGACTTTGCAATCAATGGGACATCCATTTGGAAAACCATTTCTGTGAAAACTGCTTCAGGTACCTCACTTGTAATACATGTCTGAACTGGGTGGTCAATGCTGTGGAAAGGCTGATTCATACAGAATCAAACACCCCTTCACACATCAGCTTCTCTTCTGTTATGAGATGGTTTCTGAACAGCTGGGCTGTTTAGACACACAGGGTTATGTAGCTGGCCCTTGATACACAGGAATACTAAGCACATTCTGCTTGTGACCCAGTAAGTCCAAGAGCTGGAAGCTGTAAAACCAGTAAGATTACCCTGGCACTATCACAAAGACAGGACTTAGGACTGTCAGCTCTGCTGGACTGCTTATCCTCAAAAGCCATATAATATAGTCCAGAAGAAGCCAGGAAACAGGCACAGGCAAGGCATATTCATAAATATTTATATTTGGTACTTTTGCAATGACTACATACTATTAGTTTTAAATATGCTTTAATTTAATTAAGATAAAAATCAGACCGTGGTTAAGACCAAGGCTGACTAAAATTGTTATTCTTGACTCAGTTTCTGAGAAACAGGTGTCCACCAACATTTTTGAGGACCACCCATAACACCCTCTCTACTTTCCAGTTTTAAAATCTGAATGGATTTTTCCTGTGTAATTACACAACTCCAATCTGCTTTATTCAGAGGTTTATATATATAAATACATGAAAAACACACCAAGAATTGCACTCCAATGAAGCAGTCTACCTACACAGAGCTTTGGTAACTTTAAATTCTTGTGAATTCAAAGTCTGAGACTTTACTACTATTGCCACAAGTTAGTCAGCAAGAGGCCACACATTAACTTCCAGTTCAGTTTGTCTTCTAAAGACAGGGGAAATACTAATCAATGTATGAGGTCTGACATGAAGTCTTTTAGAAAAAAAAAGTCAGTGGCTTTTCAAACTCAGCTCACTTGCAGATGAATCTTCATCATGGGATTGGGGTCAAATTAAACAAGAACAGTAGTTCTTGCCTACAGTTTCCTCTCCATCATGAGGACAGAACTCATAACTTGAGATATCAACCATGTTTCCTTGTAGCTGCATCAGCTACAAGGTATGGAAGATGCTCACTATCATTTTCTTGAATACCACCCTTCAAAAGGAGTAACATGTAAAATGCCAGCTTCTGCAGAGACATTAAGAGTTATTTAACAGCCAGTACAGTTGACAACACAACACATAGCAGTTTCACTTTTAATGGAAGATACATGTCCTTGCTGAGAAAATTATTGCCAGTAAAAAAATGCCAACAAAAAGCACAATTCCCATTGAACAGTAACTCACCTGAAGTCACACTTTTTAATTTTCCTAAGTACATCTGATGTTCCCTAATTCAACTGCTCCCTGTATCATACCATTGTGTTAGTGCAAAAAAAAGAAAAATATTTTCCCCCTTACCTCTTTGCCAGCCTTTGCTGGAATTGGTCCTTGAATCTCTCTCAACTTGCGAGCATTGTCAAGTTCTGCTTGAAGTTCTGAAGCCAATTCCTTCAAAGAAAGTGATTAGACTCCATTAGTTTAAACATTTTAAACTTTTAAGAGACCTTTATATCAGAATTAACTATTCATTCCATTTTCTTGTGTGTTTCGAAATAATTTTTTAAACTCTAATGACACAAAAGACTAAATAAGACACGTCAGTAGAATTTACAGAATTCTTTACTGGATATAAAATTGAAAAAAAATGTTCAGAATAGAAGCATCTGAAGTATAGAAACATGAATTGCCATACAAAGAGCAGAAAAAGTATCCTTAAACATTATTACCTTATACTAAAATGCTTTTTTTACTAATAAATGCTAAGCATAAATACTACTTTATGTATAGGAAGTTAAATATGGAAGCCCGAACACATCAGGTGTATGAACTTTCCAGGTTATCCTACATGTCCTTTTATTTTTTTTATATATACACACATACACATTTACATGCATACATGCAAGCAGTGGGTCTAGGGAAATATCTCTCAGACATTTTTGCTATGCAGTTTCACATCTCCCCACACTGAATGTCCAACTTTTGCACTTTAGACCTTATTTTGAGTATTAAAATGTAAAAAGGTGGAAAATGAGAACTGTTTACAGACTTGTGTAAATTGTTTCTGACGGTCCTGCTCTCTCGACCATCTGTTTATTAAACAAATAGAAGTATTTTAGAATATCTTGGACTGCTAAGAATTGCCAGGTGGCAACCTATCAACCTACATGAAATAGAACCACTTATACTCTGACCCCTTTACCAGTTCCATTGATTGGACTCCAACAAGCATGCCCATACTTGCCACCCCAAAATTAAGTAATTTGGTCAACACCAAGCAGCAAGTCAGTACAAAAATAGATTCAGAATTCATTTGTCCCACATGGCCAACCTTGAGCTCCAGCCATGCTGTTACATAACCATCTGTTCTGGTGTGTGGGGACGAACTTGTTTAAACAAGTTGCATTTTCAATCTGATCAGAGGAAGACCAGGAACAATATTTAAAATAAAACAAGACAAGGATAATTTTTTTAATTATTTATATTGTTGTTATACTCTCCCCGAAGAACATGTGTATATTTTTTGTCAAATTACTCATATCAGTTACTGTCAGGTGGGGGAAAAAAAACCAAACAAACACATTTGCACCCAAACTTCTGTTTGGGCAATGTTACTGAAGTTAAGCAGAAGGAGAAGAAAAAAAAGTCTATAAATTTTGCTGATCTCTATGAAGGTCTTTGGAAAACTTTCCCCTCCCCAGTACTTTTGCAACTAATATATAGATAGCTTCAACCATTTTCCCTGGTAGGAAAATGTCTTAAACAATAAAGTAATATCTTAAGGGACACCAGTCCCTCACAAACCTATCATATAATAACATTCATAAATATATTTTCCTTCAGTAGTGTATCAACTAGGAAAACTACAGATTAAAACATGGAGACATCAATTTAAATCATTAACACTCATATCTTAGTAGGAAATACATTGCTTGAAGCTACTTTTAATTCATATTTGAAGTTCATAAGATTTCAAATGGACAAGATTTCTAGAAAAGGTATAGCTGTTGAAATATTGTAAAGCTACATAGATACATCTATGTCTAAAGATGTGGGAAAAGAATTCATAATATAAAACAGGTTTGAAAAGAAAATGTTTATAAAATATGTACAGCATGTCCTAATCCAGCAATAATGCCAAAACATCCTAAAACTTTCCACAAATCAAAGAGTCTAATTTAGCAGTTGAACTCACACTTATTTATTACTTCGTGATGCAGATTTTGGTGCAAATACTGTGTCACAACTAAACAAGTGTAGTAAAAATTAATCTTAAAAAAAGATACAAAAACCCACAGTGATAGGATTCACTTTTAAAAACTCAGAAAAAAGTTCCTTAAGAGCAGCTATTCAGAGTAACACTTAAAAACACGGTTTAAAAACTAACAGACTACGACCTTTTTATAACTGAATTCCAGACTGAATTCTACTGAATGGAATTAACTCATTATAGCCATGCTTAGTGTAATAAAAAATATACACTTCCAGAGTTTAGAGTGTTCCAAAAGAATGAAATTCTTGATCCTTCAGGATCAGTTTGCTGAATGAAAACAAGTCTCCTAAAGCAACATTAAACATGGAGTGTTTCTCTCCCCTCTATTGACTCAGTCTCATTCAGGGCAGGCATTTTGTGGAGCTGACCACAAAGCACTGTTTGAACAATCACAGTTGTTCTCAATGCTGAGCTGGATGCAATGGCCTATGCAATTCCTTTCAGTTTTATATCTCCATACCATAATTATTAAGCATGCTTATAAAGCAGAGCCATGGACCACATGCACCTACTTGTGACAAAGCCGATGAAACAAGAAAAGCTCCAGAAGCTGTCTACCTTGTAACATAGACAGGGAGCTCTGTAGTTTTCACCTGCTCCCTTTTTAAGAAAAAGATATTAAATACTCTAAAGAAAGGCAGAGAAAAACTGGTTTCGGGTATGCTGCTTATCCTACAAAGCCTGGGGATCTGAATCCTCTACTCTAGTCTATGAACCATTGCATTTAAAGCAAAAGTTACTGTAAAAGCAGTAATTTCAAACCCTACCAAACTCTGTAGGTCTTTATTTGCTTGAATCAATACCCTTTAAAAAAAAAAAAACTAAAACTATTAAATCACTCTGAACTCTAAAGAAAAAATGCAGTAAATCATGACAGTTTTTCAAAGACATTACCATGTCTCCCATGAGTTCTGCTTTCACAATCCTCGCTCCCAGTCTGTTCATCTCCTCTTCACTGAGGACCCGAGGTGGCTCATCCTTTGATGATCTGTAAAACACCAGCTGCGTTAAACCCATGGAAAAATACTGCAGTATTCACCTGTGTAATTAAGTATTATTTGCCTGCTATACTGGTACATATGCTCCTAATGTCAAAATAATTGAAAATGACATATAAAAATGTATTTGCAGTCAGAAGTTGCCAAGGATTCTGAAGCCAAAGAGCTTGAATAAAATTTTTATGAAGCTTGTTTCCTTTTACATTTGAGATCAATTAAAATGAAAAGAACTATCTATAACCATTTACTCAGCACAAAAAAACAGTCAAGAGACAGTAACAGGTATAAGCAGGCAAAAAGCAAGGGAAAGAGGAACAGAAAGTTATTTCAACCCATTCTAATTCTGTTTTCTGGCTTTGGCCATGCTTTTATTTCTCAGCAAAATCGCCCTTTTCTGAGTTGTTCTCTTGTTAGCCAAAATGGCTTTCCATTTCTTGGAAACTACTTATTTTCCCATATTTATCTGCTCTCAGTACAATCTCTGCTTCTGAACGTGTTATGGCTGATACAGCAGAGTTTCCCTGGAAAATTAACCGGTAGCATTTTAAAAATATGAAGTCTCTCTAGGGAAGCCACAGCTAGTAATAAATGGTATTGTATCTTAATTTTAATATTAAAAGGTCAGCATAGGAGTTCTTATGATAATAAATAAGGTCTCTAAGAAATATTGCAGAGGCATCAGATAAGTTTGGATCTTGTTCTCTAACCCTAGGAAAGACTAAAGGCAACTTAATCTAAAACAAAAATATCTAACACAAAAGAGACATAATAATATAGTTATGATATTTGTTCCTGTTATTACAGAGAGAATTCACCCTCTACTTGATATGATTAAACCCCGTCAGATTTGAAGAATAGGAAAACTTGAAGATGGTGTCGTCTTTAACTGCCGGGTCTCTCCAGTCCTGAGAAAATTACAAAAGTTGCTTTTGTTTGTTTTCAAGGTGCCTAATGCAAATCCCCAAAACTCAGAAAAATTTACCTTAACTTCACCAGAAACAAAACCCTCAAAGATTACCTTCTCACTTTTCCTTAAACTATATTTTTCAAAACAAGGGAGACTATTTAAATAAAGGGAAGAACAGGTGTTTATTACTTCATATATGTTTTTTTTAAGTGGTGCTAGTGCTTGAATCATCATCTGAACTTTCTGAGACTTGAGAAATTGTTTTGATTTGTTTTTATCTTGTCTCAAATTAAACTTTGAAGTAGTCCCATTATTAAGTGTGACTTCCAGCAAACACTAGCTGATGGACTTTTCCTCTGGGGAGATCCCTTCGACATCCAATCAGCACTTTTAATTAACCTGTGACATACTACCGTCCAAAACACTTTGATTTATAGGCTGAAGAAACTTCCTCTGTGCTTTTGAAGGGATAAAACTTAAGAGCTGTATTTTCAGCATGAGAGATAAAGAACCAAAACAGTAACACTTTTTAATTCAAACTTTCACCTGAAAGAAGATTTGCTTCTTGTAACTGAGTGACAACACCGCTGAAAGAGGACATGTATTACAAGTCTTGAAACTATCGAAAGAAAAAGAAAGCAGCAGCTTATAAGTTATTCCCAACAGATAACTACTGCACCTATCAAAACCTGAAGCGTTCCAAAAGCCAGAATTTTCTACAAAATTATACAAAAAAAACCCAAAACAAAACACCACAAATCAAAACAAACAAAAAAAACCAATTCTCACTGAATGGAATAGGAAGACAGGTCATTTGGTATTTCAAACACATAAAACCTCTGAAGTTAAGACTCAGCTTAAAGGAACCTGAAAATAGGTCAATTAGCAAGGGCTGTATGGTTTTCCAAGCCTAAGTAATCTCTACTTTACTAATATATCAGCTCAGTAATTGTATTGCCTAAGAAATACAATTAAAATATCAACGAAGATGTGCAATTAGGTTTAATAGTACTAAACCAGAAAACACAGGCAAAAGAAAATATCAGCTAAACAGTTCCTATGCTTATTTCTCTTTTGTGAGGAAAAGAATTATCACGTCTATCTTAATAATTGAATTTTTTGAACTTGAATAAGCAAACCACTTCCGTACACAACTTCATTTCCCAAAATCTCCAGCTCTGTCCAGTTACAATTAGCACTGCACTTACTACATGTGGGAGACAAAAGCTAAAAGGTACAGTTTTCTGTATTTGTAATTAAAAAAAGTGAATCGCCGTTACTGAACATAAGGGAAAAAAAAAAAAAAGACTAATAATGCAGCTGTTTCTTTGAAGAAAACAATACTGAGGCAATGGTATTAGTAATTACATGTTCTACTAGGTCTGGCTGGGATGGAATTTACATTTTCCATAGCACTGTGGTGGTGAACTTGCCAACTCTCCAATTTGCAAAGCTTAGAGGACCATGGTAGAAAGCTGACAAGAGGGCCTGGGCCAAAATCCTCCCCTGCTTGAGGCTCAACTCTTGCCCATTGAGAAATTCCAAGACATTTGAAGTATTTCACAGAACTCGAGGAACCCTTAAAAGACATACTTTCATATATTTAGATACATATATCTTTATACATTTATACACATGTATCCCTATAAAATATCTCTGTCTGTGTGTGTGTGTATGAATTGATTTAAATACCCTACAGAAAGTATAATATGAATGTTGTCATCTCAGATCTGTAACTAAGTCACTGTTGTCATTGTAGCAAATCATATTGACTCACCTCATAAATGTTAAATCAGTCAATGATTAAGTACTGCTAAAATCTTCTGATCCATCTTAAATCTGTGAAAAAAGCTCTGCTGTACCAGAAGCCATGTAAAAATTTCATCTGTGGTGAACTGATACTTCTACATCATTGTACTAAGATCACCTTTTGTTGAAATCTTGGACAGTGGTTCTTTAGGTGATCCTAACTGATTACAAATGTAATCCTTTAGATACCAAGCTTTCATCAAGTCTGAGATTAAGACTGGACCTAGCCACAACTTATCTCCATCAGGAGTTTAGAAGGCAAGGGGGGGTTCACTCAAACCTCATGACACAATGGGAGGGTCTCCCTTACACCCTTTTGTGTCTTCAGTCTCTGTATAAATCATTCTAAATCAATTTTCTCTCAATGTTCTTTTGTATTTTTCACTCATGTAGTACATAATAGAGTGAACCTTTAAGTCACATTTTTGTAGATTCATATTAAATTCACTTTTGCTAATACCTTTGATGGTCATTCTTTGAGCAACCCTAAACCACTCATTCGTGACCAGCAGCCTGTATTGTGCTGTGGTCTGGACTTAGGTGGTGACAATGTTGGTAAGACACTGCTCTTTTGGCTATTGTTGAGCAGTGCTTACTCAGCTTTCAGGCTTCCTCTGGGTCTCACAGTGCACCCCCAGCAAGAAGGGGGTGAGCAAAAGCTTGGGAGGGTCACAGCCAGGACAGCCAACCCAAACCAGCCAAAGGGCTATTCCATGCCACATACCATCACACTCAGGAAAAAAAGGCTAGAGTGCAGTCTTTAAAAAATAGCTGCTGTTCAAAGACTGGCTGGGCATCAGTCTGCTCATGGGACTGCCTTTGCATCACGTTGCTGCCCCTACCCTTCACTTGTTACACTGCCTTTATCCAATAAGGAGTTTTTCTCCCTTTTGCTCTTCTGATTCCCTCTGCAGGATGGAGAACAAGCAAGCAGCTGGGTATGTGCTTAGCTGGTTGCTGAGGGTCAACACACCACACATCCAAAGCAACACCCAGCTTCACACGTTCCCCTTCATCCCCCACCCCTGTCCCTATCCCTCAAGACAGGTGGAAAACAACTGTGGATTGTGGAGACCTTGTACCTGAACAAAGTCATACACAAATCAGGACTCAAGAGCAGAGGAGGTCTCATAGGCTTCAGCTCAGATGCACCATGAAACATTCTAATGAGAAGTTTACAAAGTACACTTAACTAGCAAAACCCAGACATTTCTAGGCAGTAACTATTTGGGCTATATATACGGAAACAAAGAGGATCACTAAATTTGAATGTCTAATAATGTCTCATACATCACAGGTTTAATGCTACAAGACCTTTTTTTCACAGTAGCTACAACAGGTATAAAATTTTTTTTCTCATTTTCCAGCAAAATAGCACCTAGGCAAACACTAAAATAAACAATAAAACAAGAGATGACAAACATTTATGAATGGGATTTCCCATAGTGTGCAAAAACTATTCATGCCAGAATTTGGAACTACTCCTGCCATGACATATATTCAAGTTCATGCTTTAAAATAAAATTAGATTAACTGAACATCAAGTAATTTATATTCTTGCTATTAATGCAAATTTAAATTTCATTGTCTTCTATCAAAGTATAGCAAGCTAAATCTGGAAAAAGATACCCAATATACATAAATAAAGAACTGTGTATAGTAGGATGCCAGCTGCTGGTAAGTCATGCAGTATCTCATTTGTGTACATTTTTTCTTTGGAAATACAGTGAGGTATTTGCAAGTACTACCTATAGGAACAATTACAAATAAAATAAATAATCTTAAAATATCTTCTTATTCCTATCCAACAATTAATTAAAAGTAAATTGATAACCCTGATATAAGAAGTTTTCTGCACATAACTGACATAAGCATACAAGAAAGAAGGAATTACATTTGATCATATTTCATCAAATGCTGTTTTGAACCAAATCATACCATTCTTCTTACATACTCCAACCAAGAATATTTACTTGTCCAGCTTTCCCAAACAATTAAATAAAACCACCCCGACACTAAAATATTTTTGCACGTGCCTACGTATTATTGGAAAGATCTGAAGGAAAGCCTTCACAGTAATAACCACACTAGACAAATCACTGGGAGAACCAGGAAGCTGCTAATACTGGAGAACAGGAGGCCTTGAGCAGAGCAAAAGGTCAGTTCTCTACAACTTACTTTTCTGACCACTTCTCCTTATGACTCTCTGCTGTCTTTCACTAAAGCAAGTCAGGAAAAATTAAATTCCTGCTGCCTAATAGTTTATGTTTCCCTTCCCACTATTAATTCTTCCTCTTCTCCATAACAAAATGCATGTTCTAATCAATACTTTCTACTGTTTTTCCCTACTTAAGCATATAAACTTATCTCACAGGTGGAAAACCTATCCCTGCTGTATTAATTATTTCAGGTTTTAGTCAGCATTTTATAACATTTCAAGTGTGTCTTTTATAAATTTGATGACAGTTAAGATATTGTTTTGCAGGTTTTTCGCCTAAGAGGCCAATTTTACTGCAGTGAGAACTAACATTAGAAGCAAACAGAAAATAATCTAGCATTAGCAATTCTCAAATATGCTGAGGAGACAGGACAAGTAAGGGGTGTTTTACTTCTGCAGTGGTCTATTGTAGCTGCCCTTAGCTGGGGCTAGATTCCTCCAAACTAAAGAGATCTGATAGGATCAGTCTGATACTGCCACAAAGGAGATAAGAGTTTCTGGTATACTTTGCCATGAAAAATACAGCAAAAAAAAGACAAGAAGTTCATAAAATACCTAGAGTATGATATTTTACTGTCAGATAACATTTGTTTCTTCTCAGAGATATCGCTTGGGTACTCCTGCCGCAACTTCTCTTTTTCATCACTTGGAGTTCTTTCCCAACTATTGCCATCAGTTTGTTCCATAGTACCTGATGATTTTTTATTACACAGTAATTTCTCATTGTTATCTTCTCTGTGTGTTTTGGTCCACAGGGCAGTATCCTCTCCAGGTTTCTGGAAACGGCTGCTCAAAGAGCTATGAACCGGCAGTTTGGAAGAGGACTGCTCTGACTTGCAGTCTCTAGGTGCACTGTAAGATGATGAATCATCTTCAGAGGGTTTCAAAAATCTGTGTTTCATACTGCTTGAAGATGAACTCTTTTCCTGATTTCGTTTTTCACTGGAGTATTTTTCTCCTTTGGAGCTGTAGCCCCTTAATAGGGAGTCCATGCTACTGTGTCCACATTCTTGGTCTCTTCTTGACATACCTCTTTTGTAATCTTTATCCTCTTGTGACCAACCCTTGTCATATCTCTCCCTAGTATGGCCCCCAAATGTGTTTCTGCTTCTATCATCATCTCGTGTCACCTTTTCAATATGGTGTTCTTTCTTCCCTCTCTCACTTTCTGAATAGTCAGTTTTCCTCCATCTTCCACTTCCATGATAATTTTCCTTTCTGGATGCAGCTTTTTCAGCTTCTTCTAATCGCGACTGAAATACCTCCACTGACTATAAAAAAGAATAAAAAAAGTTATGCCACTTTTAAGACCATGGGGTATTGTGTAAGTATTTTAAATCTGCTGTAATATCCCATATATTAAAAAAAAAAAAAATTAACAAAACAAAATACATAAATGGCTAGGTAGCTTTAAACTCTTTGTCACTAGAGAGAAGCTTCAGAGGCTGTTTTTTCCTGCTTCCTTCCTTAGGTCTTACACTACACATGAAGTATATCTGTTAGTATGAAGAAAATTTAATTGAAGATTCTCACCCCATATCTCTCAGCTACAATTTCCTCAAAATTTCGTTTCTCTCTCTCAGCCTGCTCTTTCATCCTTTGGTATGATTTTCGCAGCCAACTTAATCCAGCATCTTCTACCACTGTAACTGAAGTAGAAAACAATGAGAGGTCATAGTTTTAAATCTCAAGTAATTATTACTATTTAACCTTACTCTGCATGTGACATCAAACCTTCACCTAAACTTAATGTAAAAATTCAAGGGGGTAAATGAAAAACAGAATTAATACAATAACACAGCTATACGTTTTCATAAGTTAATGCTGGTTATACCTCAGCAGTACTACAGATTTAATTTAAGCTTCTCTACTTTATCACAGAACACAACATGCAGTTTCCAAGATGGGACTAGTATATGAGAAGTTCTGGGGTTTTTTAATGACATTAAGGAACCTTCTCATTTTTTCCACTTTCTGTGTCCATTCTTTGGCATACCCCTTACACACAAACAAGTGGATTCCCCTCCTCAGAAAAGGAATGAGTAACCAATAGCTTTCCATGTGAGAAGCTAGCATGGGTCTTAACATTCTGAACACACGCTCACTGATGCCTGTCACCTCTTACAGGTCGCTGATCTCTGTGACTCCTAAAGCGGGCATGAGGCTAAAGGTTTGCAGATCAGACTGTCTACAGGGAAAGGCTCTCAAAAAGCCACAGACCCCAATCTTCCCTGTTGACAGAACACAAGGACCCCTTCTTATCACATAATAAATGCTTAATGACATCACGAAAAACGTTTTTCTAACTACACTTGCAGGATAACCCTGGGGTAAGGAAAGCAGTGAAAAGGTTACAGAAGTCGTATTTTTCACAAACTGCATCTGTAATGTATTTCATTTTAATGTGACTCAGTCTTCTGTGGGTGAATATTTTAAAACAGTAATTTGTGTAATGGAATGAAAGGAACCAAATGAGTCGACAACAATTTATCTTGTCTTGGTTAAATCATGCTTTCTTTTAATTAGTTCAAAATGGAGAATTTCTGTAAAAATACTGAAGGTCAAACCACTCAAGATTAAAAACCAGTGAAGAGAAATTCTGCAAAACAATGTACTATGATATGAACCCAATATTCACTACTGAATTTCCATTCAAATTTTACTTTATTACACTATTAATGTTATTATTAATAATATATATATATTCATAATGCATTTATAAAAACATTACCAGTAATTTGTTAGCAACGTAGAGATCAGAAACTGCAGCAGAAATTTAAGAATACTGCCAAAAGTTGCTGTTTACCTTTCTTAACTGAAGCTTCTTCATCCTTCTCTGGTGGCAAACCTGTACCACCGTCTTTCCAATAGGGATTAAGTTCTCTCTCAGACAGCATGGCCTAAAACAGAAATAATTTTAATATGTGCATAGCATATATGCATCCATTATACACACTGTTTTGGGTATCAAAGAAAGAACAGACGCTCTGGTGCAGAAAACAAAAGAGTATAAACCTGCATGGACAGCAAGGGGTTTGGGTGGGAGAGTCTGTAAGAATCATACTCTTCCAGGATTAAGCAGATATATAAATTGTCATTAACCATATATAATACATGCTGACATTCTGATGATTTAAGATCTCCACATTAAATGGTCCTTCAACAGCTCGGAAATAATGTTCAGTAAAAAAATTATGTGGAGAAAAAAACAAAAAAGATTAATCCCTTCTCAAAAGACAATAACCAAAGCACCACATACTACACAAGAACAGCACTTCAGGTCAATCTGGTTCCCAGACACAACTAACTGAAAAACCTACCAGCAACAAAGGACTTACTGTAAAATGTGAGGATAACTAAATATTAGATGGTGATCAGTAATTGTGTTTTCAGATCAGACTAAATTGCATTTAAGGTTGTGAATGAAACAGCCATCAATTGTATGTAAAGAGAATGAATTTAATGACCAAAACCCCTTCCACAGCAAGACCCTGATCTAGCCCTGTATTCACCAACAACAGTGACATGAAAGGCACAACATCTGCTCTGAACTCTTTCGTCAGGAAAAAACAAGCCTTAGCACTCTAGACTTTAGGACAGCAATTTGAGTAGGCTTTTATCACAAACCAGTGGTGCTCCTGTCACACACACCATGGAGAAGGTGGTCAGACCAACAATCTGTCACTGTCATTGAGTAAAACATCTCAGGAGTCCTTCAAATATTACAGAACTCAGAATTAACAAAGCTGACTTTCTCCTCACCTAGAATATAGTTTAAAGGCCTTTCTCCACAAGATAATCTTGGATGTATGAAGCCTTTTCATCCCAAAAAGACCAATTTAATTAAAATAACTATCACTTCATGCATCAGGCATTAGTTTAAATAACAATAAAGACTTATATATTTGAACCAAATGTAAAATGCAGAAAAAAATTAATATATTAATTCCTCCTACCTGCTCAAGTTCTTGAGCTTTCTGTCGTTCCAGTACTTTATCTTTGTGTCTTTCACCTTTGACAGCTGCTACTGACGTTGTTTTCAATGACATGAAGTCTAAATTCATCCATTCTTCTCTCTTTAAAATAAAACCAGGGAAACAGCATTCATAATTCCAACAAAAAGATGGCTCATGTACAAATCAAACTAGTGCAACTACTGACAAATGTTTCTGACAGTAAACAGTATAGGCTTTACGAACACATATAAAATACTTTAATGAAAAGGAAATACATTTTTAAGAACCCCAATCTTTCAATTTTTTAATACACAAGTAAATTGCATAAATGTCTTTCTGTAATTTGAAATATATCTTCACAAAATATTTAACACAGTAGTAAACATGCAGATTCTACATACTGCTAATTATTTGCTTCAAGGAACACTGTACATCTCATCTTGTTAATTTTGACCTCCTGATCTTTTATCTCTTCTAGTGCATACAAAATCTGCAATCAGTAACTAAGCATAGTTTATAGTTCGGATATCTAGGCACTAACTGAACTCTCAAATTCAATAATTATACATCTAAAGCCTGTAAACTGTACCCAAGATATCAGGTAGAAAACTGCATTTACAAAACCTAAGCCAGACTAAGGAGATTTTAAAAATGAGGACTACTCTACAGAAAAGTGGTATATAAAAAAGTCTAGATATAACTACTACATCTATACACACAAAACCTGAAGCCTCAAAAGAAGGCTGTGACATATACATTATAAAAAGAAGCATTTGGAGCAATTCTATGATTCTAGCACAGAATCCAAAATGACAATATTATATCTACTTTGAAACATCTCCTTGCAGGAGAGTCTTGCTATCTTCAACAGGGTTCAAGTCTGAGCTGTCAATCTGAACAGATGCTACGTGTCACGCTATCACTGTTATTTAAAAGTCATATTAGGCAACACACCAGGGAGTTTCAGGGGTGAAACCCAACATTCCACTTCTCAGATCTCCTCTAAGAGAAACAACTGAAAAATAATCTATCTTCAAGTGATTCAAAAATATCTATGGCCACATTAGCCAGCAACATGCATCAACAAACATGGATGTGCATGGGACCTCTGGAGGTCATCTGGTCTAAATCCCTGCTCAAGCAAGGACACCTAGGGACAGTTGCCCAGGACCATGTCCAGATGAACTGTAAATTCCACAACCTCTCCAGGTAATCTGTGCCAGTGCCTGGACACCCTCAGTAAAATGAAGTTTTCTGATGTTCAGAAGGAACCCCCTGTGTTTCAGTTTGTGCTCGTTGCCTCTGGTCCTGCCTCTGGCCACCACTGAAAAATGCCTGACTCCGACTCTATATAGGTTTCAGATCTGTGGGTTGGGGATTTTTATTTTCATTTTTGTTTCTGTCTTTTCTTTTTTTTTCTTAAGCAAGCACTCTGGACTAGGCCAAGACTGGTCACATCAAGCACCTTAGGTGCACTTTGAGAACTCATCTTCTAATTTAGTTTATTCCATATATGTTTCAAGACTTCCTCATAACATAAGCTAAAATAAAAAAGTGGAGATGACTAGGAAATTTGTGTCAAAAGCACACTCTTCATCCAAAACCAGACAAGCCTAGGCCATACACTATACAAAAAAATGCTTTTAAAAAAGGGAGTTGCAGTATAAATTATCAAGACACACACATTGCATTACTTCATATTTATCCAAGAAGATATATATAATCCAGAGTCCGTTTTTATTTCTCTTAACAAGATGCACCAATTCAGACTGAGAAACAGGGACCTTTTTCAGGAGAAAAAAATTTAAACATTAACTTAAAAATCATTTTTACACAACTGAGGATGTTGTGGTATGTGACTACACTTGTTACTAAAATCACTGTAGTCCTTTTCAGTATTACTCCATTTTCCAGAGTGCTGGGCACAGAATTCACTCAGGAAAATCAGAGGAGACATTGATGCCATAAATATAATTGCTGAAAAGTTCTACCCCTCTCTTCCTTATATCTGTTTAAGCACCACAGAAGCAAAAATTCATTCAGTTGTAGAACACCCACCCAGATTATGAAGAAAAAATAGTATATCTAGTCAAGGCCATTAAGGTGACATCTTCAAGAATACCAAGTTGTTAGATGATGAAAACAAATGATGATGAAAGGAATTGGTGCTGGGCAACATTAAGAGCAGTGCTTTCTTAAACACTAAGAACTATTAGGTAGAGACGTTTTCCAATGAATGAAAAGTAGCATTCACCTAGCTTAGCAAAGACATTTGTCTGTAAAATAGGTTTTATTCAACACATTGCAAAAGAGCTGTCAAGAAACCTAAGCATGTTTCACAGTTACTCATGCTGAGTTTATCTCTGGACTAGTTATCAGTCTGCTCACCTGCAGTGAGGGTTCTCTCACAGCATCTGGTTGCTTATTGACCTTCCAAGCCTTTTCTGTGTCATCTGACTGTGACACATTTGACTCAACCCATTCAACTGAAGAATCCTAAAAAGAAAGTTTAATGTAAAGAATAATAATAACACTTTAACACATTAGTTGATAAAATGCAATACTAACCAAATATATTGATAATAAAAAATCCTGAATTGATAATCAAAAATTAATTGTCCTTAGCATTACTAATATAATACTGTTTAATATTTAAAAATACTGATAATAAAAACAGAATATTGATATTTCCAAGGAAGATGGTTCCAGCATGATCAAAAGACTCCATTATACTTCATGAGCACATCACATTATGTAGCACTACTTCATACTGGTATTTGCATAATACTGCTAAAGCTAAAACTGTCATAATAAAAATGAAACCAAAATCAACTGGGATTACGACATTACAAAAGCAAAATAAAAATGCATTATTTCATTATTAAGTATGTTTTACATTAAAAAAAATAAAATCAGTTGCACAGTACAATATAAAGCACTGCACATGTTATTGCCTCTTCTTTTCACATCCAGCTTCCTACACTTGCGCTTTTGCGGTTGAAGTACACAGGACTCCATTGACAGTTGTTTTGCTATTTACATGAGCCTGTCAATAACATACTTTGGACCGAAGTTACAGCCAGGACTGTGTTGCATCCTAGGAATCACTGTTGTGGTCTGAAGGGTTTGGGTGACTCCCACGTGAAACGCAGGACATTTGTGCCCTAGGTTACTTCCCACACTGATATCATAGTTTGTCTCTGCTATCAGTCCGTAAAAAATAAATCTCATCATGTTGCACATTCCTTCACTCAACCAAAGAGACTCCCTGACTCTCCGAAAATTAAAAATCACAGTGCCAGCTGACTCACACCAAAATGCTGGGAGGGTGTTTTCCACAATGTGAAAAAACACACTGAAAGCAGCACCAGATTTCTAACGTAATCTCTGTGCTCTTTTGCCAGAGTGCTCCTCAATGTGAAGGCGTCTGCTTACAGACTCAAATGCACGTGACTCATGTACAATTCACATGTTGCTGGGGGTGTCCATGGTTGAACATCCATAGAAAAAGGCAGAAGTAATTCATGCTTAGAATCAAAGTATATTTGCAATTTCAGACACATCATTCTACCATATACCAGGGACAAGAGGGTACCTAAAAATTTTTCCTATCTATCCCAGAATAAGGATTTTTTTATAAATCCCTTAGTTCCTAATGAGTGAATTCAATGTTATAAAATTCACAAGCATTCACAAAACTGCCTATGTTAAGTTGATTAAATACACATAAATATTAAAATTGACAGATTTTGCCATAGTTTTTTCCAACAGAAAATGGTAAGAATGAGTCTAAATTTTACTAACCATGTCTAACCACAGTGACTAAAATGGTTCAAGTTTTAAGACTGTAATTTAAAATTTGTATTTTAAAATTCCTTACTTACCGAAGAACTATCATGTAAGTCATCCTTCTTTTCAGATTTTTGCTTCTTACTTTTCTTCTTTTCTTTCTTAGCTTTTTTTGAATGCTTATCCTTTTTCTTTTTTTTCTGCACAGAATGTTCCTACAAGTAAATGTTTGCAAATGAGATCCAGTAAACCAAATCACACACACAGAAATAATCACAACCCACTTACCAAACCACACATAGAAGAAAGGTAAACCACACATAGCTATCTTTTACTTTTATTAACCTTTCTTCTGTGGTGGGAGGGATGGACTGGGGTGGGGTGGTAGAGGCAGAGAGGGCATGCCTCACATCTATAATTGGTTCTTCTTCCCCCTCTCAATATGTTTTTCACTGGAACTAAGGCACTATAACTATACATAGAATATCTACTACACTACATTTATTTCGGTCAAATCTATTTCTTCGGGTATCACTACATCATTAAGACACATCTTTCCGTTGCTGAAATATCTGCACAGATTGCTACACTAAAAGGATGTGATATTCAGAGGCTCCATTAAGATATCTCCTGTGAATGACCACAAACAAGACTGCTGTGAAGCCTTGGGTTCTCTAGATTTCTTCCTATGGGACTATGCTTGCCTGGCAGCACTTGCTCTTCTGCATTTGGTAGAAATTAAAGCTGAAATTGAATGACACAAATTTTTCGCCTTTGCGAGTAAAAGGTTATTTCCATGTTAAAAAAAAGCTAATATCAAAGCATAAAGAAATCAGAAATTAAAAAGTTTTTATTTAAAGATCATTTTAAAGCCCTCAAAGTCTTCTGTTCACACAAACATGCTGTAAAGCTAACAATCCAATCCAATGATTTACAGTTCCATCACCTTTTCCAGTTGTTCCACACCTTTATTCACATCAGCAAGCATCCATTTATCTTCACTTTGTGGATGCTTTAGCAGCTTGCACCTCTCCTTTTCATAATTAATTTTGGCCAAAGATGAACAGAAAAGAAAAATAACCAGTGGGAGTTCAGTAGCATTTCCTTACATACACACTGCAACATACACTGCAACCCACACTGACACAACCATATACAGTGTTGAAAACTGTGCTTGAGAAGTTTTCCTTTTAGAGGACAGTAATAAAAATACTTTTGTATTACATGTCAAAGGGGACATTCAGCTAGAACGTATTACACACCCATCTTCTCAAGCTACAGCCTTCCAGGTCCCATATCACTGATTTCATCCCATCATCCTAAATAAGGGTGACACAAAGACATTCAGCTTCCATTCTTCATTCAGAGAAGTCTTCTCTTATTTCACCCTTCATGAACTGAATACATGATATGATACAGTGGACTTCTGAGTTTCTAGTTCAAAAAATTTTCTGTGTAATAACTCCACTGCAAAGCACAGTTCACCATCTGTTAGCAAGCCTATCTCTGTGCACATTCAACTCTGAAAATATCTCAGCCAGATGAAAAACTTGGAACTGCAGAAATCCACACAAATATTCTAAAGGAGTATACAAGTATAAAAGGATTAGCATTTTGGGCTGCAAAATGTTTCTCCCTTTCTGCCTATGGAGATAAAACTAGAAATACTTTCACTACTGTTTCTGAAAAAAATAACCATCACTGCAGACAGTTTCAATTCCTGGAAAGGATTTTTATAAGCCACATAAATAAAAGAATAATTTTTTTCAGCTTCTGATGTCCCTCTATTACTTTCAGAAGAAACTTTCAGAAGCAAGTTTACTTAATACAACTTGTCATTAGGAAACTTTTTGCCCCAAAGTGCAATACAGCACACCCTAATTAAACAGGAGAAAAGTTATTTTACATTATTACACCCCTCATTTTGTGTTAGATAAGTCTTTCAAGTTTGAGCATGCTTTTGGTTTTTCGTTTGTTTGAGGGTTTTGTTTTAAAATAACTAAAATCACAGCAAAAACATAAGGTGTAGTTTAGAATTTTTATCCTGAAACAACAAGTTCCACCAGAAAGTGTGGTCAAACATAAGCCAAAAGAACACATACAAGTTTTAAAAAGACCAATATTTAAAACAAACAAAAAAATCTCAGGAGATTACATAGCTAGTTGACGTTGTTCCTCCTGGTCAGCTATTAGCTCTCTACATATATGCCTGTGCACTGCACAAGACAGCAACCTCCCTACCACACGCCAGTTTCTCCCTTTCTGATACAGCCAAGAAAGAAATCTGCAGCTTTTGTCCTGACAGCAAACAGTGCTTGCAGGGGCATGACCAATATACTGTAAGGGTTCAAGGAACAAAATAAGTGCCAAAAAAATAAGATTAAGAGGGTATTTTTAAAAAAGCACTAATTCACAAGGTAGGACTGCTGTTGTATTTTTTAACATTGTCGCTAACACTACTGAAAGTCGCACAACATAAAGAACAAAAAACTAAACAAAGCAAAAAAGAAAATCAAAATACTACACATCTGTGCCCAAACAAAGCACCCTTTTAAATCTTCCTTGTCTACTTTCTTACAAACTCCAGGTGATAAACTTTCTAATGCACTTAAATGCAAGTACAGCAAGGTTGCTACCCACACTTCTTGACTTTAAACAAAGGAATATTGCAAAACAAAAAATAGTATAAATCCGCTCAAATAAAGAGGCCAAGTCTCAGACTTCCATCTCTAGAAAGAAGCTGACAGTCTACAAGAGTGAATGCTACCTCTTAAAATATAAAAGGTAAAGATAAAGAAAGAATGAGTTAAGAACACACTGAGTAATTTATTTCAATATCGAAATAATTTTCCATTTTACAAATAAACAAAATAACAAAAGAATAAGCAGGACTATAATTCAGTGAAAATGAAACAGTCATTAAGCATAACACAGAGTCTCCAAAACCACACAGGACTCAAAAAAATGCAGGTGTGCTTCCTGTTATCCCTGCACGATCCAGAAAGTGCACTGGCTAACCCTGGCCACTCTAAGGCATCTGGGACAACATCCTTAAAAATTCATGCAGAAATCACTGACTGGTATCTTCTGTTCTAGTCCATACAGATGATGCTAACCCTTTTGTTTTAAAAATACATTCATCTGACTAAAAAAACAATAACTAAACATGGCACATCCATGGACAAGAGAAGGATAATAACCTCAGCTGTGCAACTCCCAAAATGTCTATAAGCAATACAGACTCCAAACTTAAATTTATAACTGGACAGAGATGAAACAGGGGAGATAAAAGGAACCTGAATATGGTTCTAGATGAGAAAAAATAAAAACAAAAACAGACTCCAAGCTCATTTGCTCCAAAAGTAAACAGAAATCATATTGCTGAGATATAGACTGAGAAAAGGACAGGCTTTCTGCACACTCCATTTCACTTTTGGTTGAGAAAGAACTGGAGCTGGAGTCAACAGTTCCGTTCAACCCCTTTAGCAGTTCTCAGGCATATAAATCTACATATAAATCTACATAGACCTCAAATAAAGGCCAGTCAGGATCATCTTGTCAACATGTCTTCACTGAGTATGCTCTCTGCCTGTCACGGGAGATTTAGCCTCATCCTTCCCTATAATAACAAGCATATTTTACATAAAATTAGTATTTTCTTCATGCTACCAAAGTTACAAATAAACATTGCATAAAATGAGGTTAATGTTACAAATAAGGTATAAAAGAAGATTTTATACATTTTATTATATTTAAAATAAATAGAAAAAGACAAAGGCAAGCATTTAGGTAATTGAAATACATGATCCTAATGAAAGAGATGGATCATCATTTTGGCTGAAGAATACATATTTAGAACACAGATTGACTAGAGATCATCATCAGACTACAGATTGTTGTCTCCTTAATACTAAATGAAACAGGATTGGGCAAGATGCAGTGAATCTGTAGTGGCAGATCAAAGAGAAAGAAAAAAAAAACATCAGGTGAAAGTTTTTCTTAGAAGAAGATGCAAAATATAGAAAATTTTTAACAATATATATATGTAAAATAAAATTAAAGAAAGAAAGCTGCCTAGAGATTTAAAAATATGAAAGAAGTTATATTTTCACCTCAATTATCATTTTAACCCAAGACTAGAGAGTTAGCAGTGAATCTTTCTATCTGAATCTTTCTATCTCTAAAAACTATCTAGCTCCCTCAAATTACAATATTTATTTTGTATTGTTGGTGATGCTTTCCCCTCACACACACACACAACTATTTCAAGTGAGGATGAGGAGGGAAATCTGTTTACATTACTCTATTAGCTTCAAAACTTTATGTGCTACTTGTCTTTTACAAATAAAGTTTGCTCCAAAACAGCCTGTAATACATTGCAGACACAAACACCAAAACCTGTACAAATTACACCATGCCACACCAGGAAGAAGCAGAAAAGATCAAAGACACTGCCAACAGCCAAGATTTAGGTCACACAATAAATGGAGATTGTTACACAACAGTCCCCAAGGATGTCACTTAGCGACAAAAAAATTCCCTCTCCAGCTCACAGAAACCTTGACCAACACTCTTTCCTGACCCCAATTCTTTTTACCATTTCAGTTCTAACCAAGGCCAGAGAAAGTTTTCAACACCACTATAGAGACCATGCACTTTTCCATCTTTAACTCTGGTCAATTTCTAATTCCTCAGACAATAATCACCACCATTCAATAGTCAATTTCTCCTTCCAAAAGAAGAAAAGTCACCTTTTCTCCACCAGCAACCAGGAGAAACTCTACAACACATCAGATCAATACAGTATGACAAAAACATTCAACACAAAGAGCAACAGCTAAGCTGCTCTACTGCCTATGTGTCAGTGAAGGGCAGGGCTCCACTCCCACGACTCTCCTCTCTGCATTCCCCCTCACATGTTCCCACCACCTTACCTACCCAGGCCTATCCTGGCACCACAGCCTCAGGAGAAGCCACTTCAAGGACCACCCTGGCAAAAAATCCCACCAAAAGCAGGGTGTAGCTTCCTGTAGATCAAGTTTACAAGATGCCACTCCAGCAAGGTCATCAAGGCTACTGGTTTAAGCACAAGGAACAAAGGAAAAAATGTGCACTTTGGGGAGAAGTGTGGAAAAAACATCCTTTCAGCAACAGATTTCTGTTAGAAAAGTTCAACAAATCCCCAGTCCTTCAGACATCAACATAAGGCACCCAA